GGCTGGTCTACCCTGTCCAGCTCCTGCTACCCCAGTACCCGTACCATTAGCATTGACTCCTGGCGCTACACTTTGGGGTACCGTACCAGTGGGAATCGCAGCTCCAGGGGGTCCCATGCCACCGCCACCTTGTGGTGGCTGTGCAGTAGCTAGTGTGTTGAGCAAGGATACCGTGACTAGCGTTGAAATCCGAATCATCATTTTGAAGTGTATGTAGATCTGTTGAAAAGAAGCTCAAGTTTGAAGTCTGACATTTGGCAGGATTGGCGATCCTTTAAATACTAAATACATATTACAGATGAGTTGAGACTCTACATAGCTGTACCAGAGGCATATTTGGAGCGTCGACAACTCGCCACACAAATGTTCTCCAAATTTATTTATTATATTACAAATCAAAAAAACGAATTATAAAACCATGGCCATCTCAAGTTCTCAGACTTCTCTATGTATGTATTTTTTGTTTAATACAAATCCAATAAATATATTTTAAAAACACCCCTGTGGCTATGGGAGTAATTATTTAAATATGGGGTTTCCCTAAAATTTAGAAGGCTATGTTTCCCTGCCCTAAATTCTACAGAATATATCGTTGATTTTTTTTTCAACGAAAACATATTACAAAAAATATTTTACTATTTCAAAATATAACAATCCAGACTTGTTTTCTCTAAAATAGAGGTTTTGTTTTTACAAAACTGTAGACGTCGGCAACTCCTAATCGGGAAAATTCAGGATTCGCGGGGGAATCCGAATTTTGGATTGTTTTTGGGTCTGGGACCATTCTCGAAATTTCAGTGCACATTGTCAAAAAATTGTGGCCAATGAATTTTGATGAGTCATCACCACATGACCCTTGCGAAACGACTAAACGTAGAATGAATGAGAAATCGCAAATAGGTTAGAGCTTAAAGTTCGTAGACATTGCGTAGACATTTAGGCTTCGTTGTAGACCTTTAGACCGCTACGGGTCTGTCGGAAATTGTATAAATAAGGTAGTATAGTAGCTTGCAATCCTTGACTTTAACACCAAGGAATAAGAAAGGATAGAGGAGGATTGCTAAGATTATCTGAATCGTGGGCTTTGACTAGGGCCGAGCCAAAAATCAATAAAGGTTACTACTGAGAAATCTCGTCTAAATCTTTGGGCAGGGTTTAGGGTTTCTAGTGTACCTTGTGGACCAGGATTTTTGGACTCAAGGCTTTCCGGGTTTGGCCAAGGATTTGTGGGATCTTGGTATTGCCGGCCACGAACAAATCGGGATAAGGACAGGAAATTAGGGTCAGGGATCCTATAAAACAAATAAAACAAAAATAGTGATTCTTTTAAATAGGTCAGTGAGACAGTCTCAATGACTCATCACTCAGTGACAATGCAAAATAACTAGTATAAAAATAGTGATTCTTTTAAATAGGTCAGTGAGACAGTCTCAATGACTCATCACTCAGTGACATTGCAAAATAACTAGTATTTTTTTTTAATGTTATAAGGCGGTTCGTATGTATGTGCTACTTTGGTTTAGAGACCCCCCCCCCCCAACTTGGATTTTGGACTCTCAGCAATTTAAGGGTATATAATTTTGGGTGCTTTTTTCGGATATTTGGTTCAATATTGACCTAGATATTGAACATACGCATATAAATATTTTTGTGAAGTGATGACTGTACCCCCTCTTGCGTAGCTATTGGCAGAAAAGAATTTCCAGCGCGAAAAGGCCGCGCAGGTTCTATTCTATGGATTCTGAATGGCCTAGACGCAGGTACAGGTCAAAGGTCCCCCCCCTCGATTTTGGACCACCAAATGTCTCTAAACCAAAGTAGCACACCCGACTCGCCTAAGTACATATTTTCTTATCGAGTTCCTGACAACATTTTGTTTTTTTTTTAAAGGAAACTAACACTACTCTCTAGTCACTACAGACTACAGAGTATCTATATTTACTACACTCTACACACTACAATCTGAAGTTCAGTGTATGTACTGTGACTCTGTGAATCTGTGAGTGTGAAGTGTTTATTCAGAAGTCAGAACTGTGAACTCAGTAAACCTCTATGAACTGTGAAGTGTTTATTCAGAAGTCAGAACTGTGGAACTGGAGTCAGTGAGTCACTGTCTGACTATGTACACTTCTTGTACACAGTGTACAGTCACAAGCTCACAATATGTAAATACTCACAATGACACAATGACTGAGAGAGAGAGAGAAGGTATTTAATTATTTTAAACTAGGTAATTAACACTATTAGTCTATGACAGAGTCTCAGAGAGACTTAGAGAGAGGTATGTATTGAATTCAGAACTATACGCCCGTTACCCGTATGTACGGCGTACTATTATTTAATTTTTTTTAAACACATATTTTATGTATAACTTTTTAAATAATACAGGTAGAGAGTAATGACAAAAGACTGAGTCTCATCAGTGGACTTAGAGAACTGGGGTTTGGGCCTCTGGGGGCTCCTTTTTATTATTATCGGGTCTGGGACTGGAAGTCTGGGTCACTCTCTGGGAGAGTGGGAGTCCTAGCAACTATGTACATACATACATAGATTCTTCTTTTTCTTTTTTTTTCTTTTCGAACTTATAGTAAACACTCTGTGCGGCGCCCATGATGATGGGAGAAAATAAGGCCGCGCCGCCGCCGCCAGAGGAACTTTCACATTTTTAAACCTCGGAGCCTTGAAGTTCCCCTAGCTCCTGGAGTCCTGCACGCCCCTAATCCCCTCATGAAGTGCTGAGTGCCTGAGTCCTGCCTGCAATTTATGCAAAGTGTACACAAACTAAAAAATGTAGAAATAGTGGAATGCGGAGTTTCCACGTACTCATGTGCGTGTATAACTGTCAGAAAAAATAAAAGTGTACAAATATTTGCCATACCATTATTCCTATAAAGTATTCTGGATTTTATTATTAAAATTTATAAGGACTTTTCTGTAAAATTAGTAACTTAAAAAAAAATACAACTATATCTTGGTCAATTTTAGTGGGGGTCCCGAAGTCAACTTACCACGGCTTTTTAAAGTTTTATTTGGAAGGCTATGGAGTAAATATGGGGTATTGGGGTTCTACCGCTGTTTTTAGCTTCTCTCTGACAAACAACCCCCTTTATATTCACGTGTTTTTAGGCTTTTTACAGAGCGGCTTACTCAAGGCCCTTCTTGTGGGGTGAACTACCACTAAAATTCCGAAAAAAGGCAAAACCAGTTGAAAACTTGAAACACCTGAGCATCTGAAGTTCTGAGCCTTCTATAAGTTCTTTAAAAAAAGCCCTGCCTCCTGACCGCTCTTGACTCCTGAGTCCTAACCACGTCCTGTGACTAATATGTGAGGGCGTGAGGCTGACTCCTCTGAGTCCTCTCTACTCTCTAGTCTCTAGTAGGTGAGTTAAAAAAAATACCATAGCCTTCAATTTGACTAGAAGGATATGCAAAATTGCAAATAAATACTTCGTTGAGAAAGTTAAGATTAAAATAGTAGATACAGAGCAATTGCGGGATACTTAACTATTCATTTCTAGGTAGAACATTGTGAAGATTTGTTGATATTGTAAATGCCAAGGACAAGCTTACAGTCATTCACAAACGATGGATCATGGAACAAATCGTTATTTGTGCTATTTTAAATTTTTAGTAAAATAGAATAAAGTTTTTAAAAATCAAGACAATAGTCATCTTTTTATATTTTTCAAACAACTTCCTTTATCTCAAACGAATGATCGTTGACAAAAATAAACGAATGTTGTTGTTTTTTAAGTATACTCTCTAAACACTGCATAAATATGTATGTACTCCATCTGCGCCGGGGCCTGAGGCTGCCCTGGCCCCTGAGCCCTGAGGCCCAGAGGCCTGAGCCCTGAGACCTGAGTACTGAGTAGTGACTAGTGACTAGTGAGTACCCTATATTACTACCAACTCCCGCCCACACAAATGGGGCCGATATATAATAAATATAGCCCTATTATTAGGAAATCTTAGTTTTTCCTTTTTTACCTTCTCGAACCCAAACTCTCGGGTTTTTCTTAGCTCTTGGTTTATCCATTCTAATACTGACATCTTAGTTATATAGGGTGTTCTAAGGAGTGAAGCTGGTTGGTGGATAAAGGTCAGGAGATCAAGAAATCATTCGTAGACACTTCCATTGGTGCTTTAAGGTCAAGCAAGGTCAAGCCAGCTGTATATTTTCTTCTTTATTAGAGTTTTAATTATTTCGGTGTCTCAAAGTTGATTTATGAATTTGTTCTATAGGTCCAGACAGATATGCCTGAATATTCATTGGCTTGTACATCGCGCCTAAATTGATCGTGCCACTTAGTGAACCCATGGGGAGCGTAGTATCATTAGTGAGCCCATGGTGTAATAGGCCGGGCCTCCACATTAGACTCTATGTATAAACGTACTCTTAAGCAGTACGCAAATTATAAACGTAATCTTAATAGTACGAGGGACTTAAGTTTCCTAAATGTACTGTTAATAGTACGAGGAACTTAAATCTCCTAATGTGCTCTTAATAGCACGAGGAACCTAATTTTCCTAAAATGGTTTTTAATGGTTTTATTAATTAAATCTTTACCATTTAACATATCAGATATTTGGATGAAGCCATTAAAAGGCCTCAGTAAAATACCAAACATAGAAGAGTTGGTCTAGTTCTATTAATAGAGCTTTATTTACTTTCTAATTCTATTTATATCTGAATACTTCGGTAGCGAGATGGCTCAACCGAATATAGGTTTCTAGGGACTATTAACGTTACCTAGTTGATCCTCCGATAAGCCAACCAGATGTGCAGTCTGATGAAGGCTAAGTCGGTCATTCTTGATAGTGGCAGTTATTGGTTGAGATAATAACTAAAGATGTCAAGAGTATTTTTTTCTTTTTTCTTTTTTTTTTCTAAAGATAGGATTTTATGAGTCTTTCGGATTCGCCCCAGAATAGAGCGACAACGAAACACTAAATAAAATCCCTTCGGCGGCAACAGTACTGAGAGGATTGTATATAGG